AACATGAACTGAATCTTTAAAATACGTAAATCTGCGATTTTCGCATTTTTTTCGTACAAGGGTAGTTTTCACCCCCAAATAGAAAAAAGCATACATCTAGACAATATATCTTTTGAAGTGGGGGGACAGATGAGCTTGTATGCAAATTTTCAGGAAAATCGATGCTATCCGAAAAAATTGGGAGCGTTTACGTTATTTACGCTTTCGTGACTGGACTAATAGAATCTATTAAAATGCAAACATTGCAAACGATAGTTCCATTTTTAAAGGAGACCTTTTAAAAAAGCAGTCCTCAAAACGCAGAAACATCTTAATTAAAGTATCGTGGCTTGAACTTCATGTTAACCTCTGTTATTTATTTTTTGAACTTTCGGGATATTTAATAATTACGTTTTGTAATTTTCCAAATTGAATAGATTTTTTAATAATTATTATTTGCCAGTTTGTCCAAGTCATTTCTCTTGTTGGTTTTTGACTATCTTTCTTGTTTTTCTATCAAAAAATGAAGAGCAAAAGTCGCTTACCTCTTTCATGGGGGCCATCGTCTGCGTGACGACGGGAATGGCCGCCTTAGCCAGGATGGGGATGGCCACTTTTTCCCCGCCTCCGTTCTGCTGACCCGAACAGCTGCTGGTGGTTACCGGTTCGCACCTCGAGTCGATGACCGTGGTCACTGCTTCCGAAAAGGAGTTGCTGGTACCGCCTCCGTTCTGCATGGACGGTACGACGTCCGGCAGGAGTTTCGAGAAGTCGACGTTGTCGTAATGGGACGAGATCTCCTTCTTCAGCACGGCCAAGCGCTGCTGGGCGCTGATCTTTTCGCGGGCCAACCTCTCCATCTCGTGTTCCAGTTCTCGTTCTTTCCTCTTGAGCGTCTGGATGTAGCTGTAAGCCGAGAGGGATTCGGATAAACTTTAATTAATAGGAATAGGCAAATTTTCATTTTTAACAATTTTTTTTTACAACAAATGAAATTTTCATGACTTACAGAGTTATGAAACACCCTGTACAGTGCAATTTTAAACTTCATGATGGTATTTAACGCGCGGAAACAAATTGTTCCAATCTTAAATAAATAATAAAAGATTACCGCAAGGCGGAATGGAGGATGCTCAGGTTGGACGTCTTCTTCTCGTCCTGGGTGGAGGGCAGCTGCTTCTTCAGTATGTCGAAGCACTCCTTCAGGTGGGCCCTCCGGTGCTTCTCCAGCTTGTTGTGTACTTCCCTTGTGCCGGCCCTAAACACCAACGGGGGCTGCTTCCGTTTCGTTTCCGTGCCGTTCGTCTCGTCTATGATTAGCGGGTTCATGATGTCAAAACTGTTGTGCAGGATGCGGTGGCGAGGCACCTGCTGGGCCACTGTCGTGCTGGTTACCTGGCCATCCTGGTCGATCTTTTTCACAACCTGCGAGCACACGATGGAAGTTTACGAATCTGTGGGACGGTACCAGGTTGGGTACTTATTTTTTTTTATGGTTTAACGGAATGTGTTGACATAATCTTCAAATATCTATTGCGTACAGGATGTTCTCGCTTATGAGCAACGTAAAAAACAAATGAAGTTAGCATTTTTTATGATTCAATATTAGAAAAATAGTTCGCCATCGTTTTTATGTAAAATGATTATATTAAATCATTTGCGTAAAAGTTAAGGAAAAAAAACGTAGCAAATTATTTGGAATAAACACTAAAAACATCAAAAATCTCACCAACTATTCGGCAGAACAAATTATATTAATTTAAAAAAGTTTTGAAAATACGGTAAAAAAAACAAGTTATCCATGATCCAAAACTTAGAACTTCTAATGCCCATAATAGCTATTTTTCTATTTCAAATGTTAACTAAGTAATGCAAAAAAGGTCTTTTCACGTTTAAAAGTTTGGTGGAAACTGCATTTTTCTATTTTGGTTAGTTTTGGAGAATTTTTATATTTTCGAAAAAGCTGCAATTTAAAATAAAACGTGAAATAACACCGAAACAGTACGTTTTAGACGCAATATGGTGTTTTTCAAAGTAGGCTTTAAATTCAATTTACAAACGCTATATTATCAAGGTGTTCAATTCAAAAAATAAAGTTAGGCAAAGCCCGAAAGAAACGGGACACGCTATATCACGACAAATAATTTTAAAATGTCGAATAGTTGATTATTTGAAACAATTTTCCATTATTGGTGTTGTCAAGGCTAGTAACTATCTCATAGTTACAAATCCTAACCCTGCTACGATTTTTTTTAGGTTCGATTTTTGGAAAATCGCGTTAGCATTGTTTTCATTCGAAAATACAATAACGCCACGTTATTCTATACCCCTTAGTCCTTAGTCCGTACTACTGCAATTTTTTTGTGTTTATTATTAAAGAAATACGAAAAAATCGTAGCGTAGTTTCCGAACACGTGCGCTATGAAGGGTTATTCAATAAAAATTGTTAGACATTCATTTGCTTTTTTACTTACTGTGTTAGTAGCTTCGTATACTTATAAATCTGGACATCTCGAAAATAATAATAACAGGAAAAATTAAACAGTTTCCACCGCTACTTTTTTTGCACGTTATATTTGCAGGCTATAAATTATAATGGAACCAAAATACCAAAATAGAACGCAATAAGCGGGATGTCACGTCCAACAGGAGTGCGTTCCGAATTCGACATTGATTCGCATGAACAAGAAGCTGTTTTGGGAAAACTGAAAGGTGCTCACATGCTGTTCAATAGATTCTTTTAGTGTGACGTCACATATTTAGGCAACCTGCAATAAATTGTAATTATTGAAATTGTACAGACCGATTCTGACCCTTGTGTACTATTTACATACGTACTATAAAAATGAACAACAAATTAATTTATTTTTACGAGGATTTGGAAGTATTTAAGAACAACCAACACGTGTTTGGAAAAATAGATACACTGATGTGCTTAAAACTTACCAAAAACGATATAAAGGAATATTCCTAAATTTAAATAAAGTAAAATTTAATATTAACGTGATATTCCTAATGCGCATGCTCGGAAAGAATCATTAGCGTATTTTCTCTACTTTTGTTTAATCCTGACATTTTCTAGTTCTACTTCTTTAATGTTTTTCTTGGGGTTGTGCTGTGTCAGTGTGTTTATCGAGTGTTTTCTTTCTTCAAATGGTTTATTATAGATGTACTTTTAACCACAACCAAACTTTTCTAGAATGATATCCTGTTGCGAGGCTATCTCGCTTACATGAAATTATCTTTAATGCGCATGCTCAATACCATTGATATAATTTTAATTTATTAGTTACTAAAAGTCAATATTGTTCTATAAATTTAAAAATATAAATTCTATAATTCTTTTAGTTTGTCACTTGGGGTTTGAAATTTCTTAAATATTTCTAATATTGCCAGAATATCGCGATATTCAAGGTCATGACAAAGAGGACATTTTTTTGGCACTTATGTTTAAAATACATAAGGTCGAAAATCGATCAAGTAAAAATATTGGGAAATTCTTCGTGACAATATGCACTGTGGGTTTGCCTATTATATGGCGTATGTGACGTCACTACTAAAAAGGTCTATAAAAATCTAACTCGAAAGAAGTGACGATAAAAGTGGTAAATTTACGTGTTTTTTCTATTTTTTTTACTACCCACGAAAATCTGGACGGCCTATCGGAAAGTTAGTTATTTTATGTTGTAGACAATAGGCCTCTTGCGAGAAAAAATATTTTAATAGTTTTTGTATCTACTACACTGAATATTACAAACAATGTGTAAAGGTTTTGTTATATTAATTTATTTTTAAAAAGTTATTAGGTATTAAAGTTTTAATCGGTTCGCTTTGCGCGCAAACGCCATGGACTGGGATGTCGATACGTTGACGTCATCGGTAAGTAAATGGCAAGCGCGACATATACAATAACGCGTTTCGACAGTGCAGCTGACTGCTGTGGATATTAAATGTGTGGAGTGGTGTCAATAAGCAGTACGATACCTTATGTATACTGTAAATTTGCGAAGTTAAACTTATAATAACTATGGCAAATCCCTCTAAACCATATAACCCAGACAGCATCTGTTTCAAAAAGTCTGTATTTGGGTAAATCCACGGAGATTTTTAGCTTTTTGGCTTTCAAATATCACTAGAAATGAAAATTTTTCTGTGCGCATAAAAAAAAACGTGGGCTTAACTTTTGACGGCACAATATGTTAAAAAAAATTGAAAAATGTCATATTTTTCTTCCTATTTAATTATGTATCTTTTCAAGAGTTCATTTTAGGCAAAAATGGAAGAGGAAAAAAATTTTTGTAATTAAATTTTTTACAAAATGTGACTAGTTACAAATCGAATAAATCATGATTATTATTGTACAAAATCGAAAAAATCTCTAAAAATAGGGTTAAAAAACATTACTTTTTAGGGAATCTTTTTGAGGTCTTTAAATTGGGTTGGGACTTTCATACTTGGCTCAAGAAAACTTCATGTTATGTGGAATCATTACACTAAATTTCATCAAAATCGGTTAGATAGATTTTGCATAATAATTTTGCAATCCAGATTTTGAAAAAAAATTTGCAAATTTTCAAAATTTTGCACAGCAAAAACCAAGGCCCTTAGATACTTGAAAATTTAATCACATATAGAAGGGCCTTGGTTTTTGCTGTTCAAAATTTTGAAAATTTGCAAATTTTTTTTCAAAATCTGGATTGCAAAATTATTATGCAAAATCTAT